GAACAGGACAATCCCAATTCTCACTCTTCTTTTGATTTTGGTTTTGGCCTCCATTAGAGCTGAGGTATTGGTCTCCATTGGAGGCCTTTGGGCTTGTTACTGAGCGGCGGAGTGGTGGTAGTGTTGTGGATGAGAAGAGCGGTAGGTGAATACGAACGGTGGGAAAAGGAGGAGAGAAGCCATTTTCCACGTCCTCTGTTTAACTTGAAGCACACAATTCGTGCATGTATAAAAGGACTAGTTTTAAATCTTTTGAAATCCATATTTTCCTCATGGCCATGCATATTGATGTCGAGATGATGAGGATATTTGAGCATCAAAACATTCGAAATTTTTTAGGTGGGTTCTGATGGTTTAGAGCCTCAACTCTAAAAACTTTTTATATAGGCGGTTTGTATAGTGCCTAGACTCTAAACAATCAAATTAGAGCCTACCTTCAAATAGCATCAAGAAATGCAGTTTCAATACTGAAAATTATTGTGATAGCCTTAAAATATATTTTCATCTGTATTTGTAAGGTTTAAAGCTTCAAAAATAGTGTAGATCGATAGTTCTATGAAGCCTTGGAAATCTTGAAAATTGACAGTCCAAAAATACGTTACAAAATACACTATTTAACTTGAAATCCATTTTTTTCTCATGTCCATGCATCTTGATGTTGAGATGATCAATATGAGTATATTTCGACATCAAAACGACCTCTTCTAGTGAAATTTTTGAGGTAGGCTCTAATTTGATTGTTTAGAGCCTCGGCTCTGTGTAGTTTGTACAAGGCTGAGGTCCTAAGCAATCAAAGTAAGGCACTCATTCGAATAATGTCTAGAGATATTATTTCAGTACTGAAAATCTTTGTGTTGGCCAGAAAATATGTTTTCGTCTCGAACTATAAAATTTAAAGCTTCAAAAACAGTGTGGATCGAGCAAATCTATGAATACTTGAAAATCTTGAAAAGCAACGGTTCAGAAAATGCATTATAAGATGCATTATTTCCAAGACTTGAAATTCATTTTTTCTCATGTCCATGCATCGTGAGATTAAGATGATCTATTTGAGGATTTTTGGCATCAAAACAACCTCTTATAGTGAATTTTTGAGGTGCATCTTTGATTGTTTAGGACATCACCCTTGTACAAACCTTTTCCTTTATACATTGAATTTCTACAAAAATGATTAACAATCAACCACAATCAATTCTTGATCATCTAACGGTCCTCCCTCCTACATGCGGGTGGGCGTAAAGAGGGAGTTTTACGTATCTATCTCGAGTAGCATTCAACATATTTCTATTATCAAATGAGAGAAATAAAAATTTAATGGAATTTGACAATCAACTGCTCTTAAAGGTCTAGATGTTTTACCAACATGCACCTCATAACCTATTTTAAATTTGTTGGGATTGTATAAATAAGACCATTTACCTCTGATACGAGGTCAAAATAAATAAATAAACATCTGATGTGAAATTTGATAGCTTGGGTGTCACAAAGTTTGAAAAAAATTATTTTGAAGTTTGAGCTTGGTCAATGGAATAAATGCATCCATCTATTTTCACATCCAATGGTCATGATTAATTGTGACCACCTTATACCAAAGATAAATGGCCTCATTATATACTGTTCCAATTTTTTGTCACTTGGCGAACTTAAATTTGAAAAGTTATAACTAGATTAGAGCCTTTCTAAAATATTGATTTAAAACCCTATTTGTAGTTCTGGTTATTTAATTCGTATGGTAGAGGTAAAACTCTCGACAGAAATATAATTAACTTCACCCAAACTTGATCCTTCAGCAAACAAGTCTTATCTTTCTTAATAAGAAAAGGGATTGTCTACAAAGAGACCATTTACCTTTTGATCAAGATAAATGCTCGTATTTAAATACAGTCCTTTCCCAAATATCTATCTTAGAGATGGATTTAGGATCTAAAATAAATACTAAGCCAGTCTAGAGGCATTTCTGCTTAGAACTATGAATTCTAAAAAAAATAGTGCACATTTGGTAATATGAGAAGATTTAAAATGAATGGTCCAAAAACAAAATTAAGCCTTGTAATACAATTTATACTATTCATGATCTTGGTGGTTGAATCTTGTAAAATCTAAGTCTGAAATCTATATCTAAGATGGATTATTGAAGAAGACCTCAAATGTACGTGAACCCTATCTTTGAATTGATATTTACTTGAACTAGCATGATGGGGTGCAATCTTCACTATTATTCTTGGAGACAACATCAAGAGTTTTCCAAGAAGCAGGGGTTGAAATTCGCCATCTCTTAGTCAAAGATGAGCTTGAACTTGGTGTTTTCAGAACCCCAAATTTTGCATATGCAATCTGTCATCCCAGTTAGGGGTGGCAATGGACCCGGACCCAACCTGAGACCCACCGGGTACAACCCGAAAATTTTCGGGTATGGGTCTGGGTACTAGTGGACCCACCCCATTTGGATTTGGAACCCGAAGTCGTTACATTAAATATAGTACCCGAAGTTATTAAGTATAATACCCCAAGTCATAATGCATGTCTCATACCTAAAGTTATTATACAAAGTTATCATCTTAAGTATTATTATGTTAAAAATAAGGAAATTATCGCTAATATATCCATATTTTAAGAAAATTTTAAAAAAACAAACCCAACTTTCCAAAACCTCGCCCACACTATTTTTCACGAATTTTAACTTTTTTTATACGAAATCTTCCTTTACGATAGTCTTTGTACCGTAAAAAGCATTACGGTATTAAGAGTACCGTAATAAGCATTACAGTATTGTTAGTACCGTAATGCTCTTTAAATGCTTTACGGTCATAAGAAAACTGAAGTGGAGTTTAATATCATTACGGTACTAAGAGTACCGTAATGCTCTTGTGGAGATGTCCATGACATCGCTGCTTGAAAGAAGTGCCCATGCGAGGGGTGTCTTCATGGAGGCATCGTAAAGAGAGAGTACGGATGGGTCCTTTTATACCAACAATTATACATTTTCTCTACTAAACAACTGCCGCTTCGTTGCCCCAATGTGCTGATTTCATTACTGGTCCGCAGCTAAATGTGATGGGGAGTCCAGGGAATCCCTAGAGATCGATGCTTGCAGAAGCAATGGATAAGTTGGTGAAAATGGCCCAAGCTTTTGAACGTTTGTGGATTCCAAGCTTTGAAGGTGGGAGCGAGACCCTCAGTTATGAGGAGTATTTGCAAGTCTTCCCCAGGTGCATTGGGCTTAGAGGTCTTGGTTATGTGTCTAAGGTAACAAGGGAGATGGGCAATGTCATCATCAATAGCCTCGCTCTCGTTGAAACTCTCATAGATGCGGTGAGCCAGTTGAATTTGATTTTTACCCTCTTGAACTGTCCTATAATGCTTCATCTAAAAACTTATTTTGTTGGTTGATGTTTCTACATTGGTTTACAACTGATTCTCTATATTAGTGCCCGAGTGGGCAATGATTCCGAGAATCTGAAGAGAAAAAGTAGAATTGTGCAGTGTTAGTAGAGAAAATGTAGAATTGTTGGTGCAAAAGAACTCATCCCTACTCTCTCTCTACGATGCCTTCATGAAAACACCCCTCGCATGAGTACTTCTTTCAAGCAGTTTTGTCATGAAACATCTCCATACCAAAAAAAGCATTACAATACTCTTAGTACCGTAATGATATTCAACTCCATTACAGTTTTTTTATGACCGTAAAACATTTAAAGTGCATTATGGTACTAACAATTCGTAATGCTCATTACGGTACTCTTAATATCGTAATGCTCATTACAGTACTCTGAATACCGCAATGTTTTTTACGGTACAAAGACTGTAAAAGGTAGTTTCATCCAAAAAAAACCAAAATTCGTGAAAAATAGTATGGACGAAGTTTTGAAAAGTTAAGATTTTTTTTTCAATTTTCTTAAAATATGGGTATATTAACGATAATTTCCCTTAAACATATAAGGCACTTTATGTTTTTTTTACCCAAACACTACTTCCTAAAATCCCCAAATCGCCATTACGGCTCCTCTCATCCTCAGCTGATCTGCAACAGCATCCTCTCTCATTCTTTGAGCTCTCTCCCTTTCTCTATTCGAAGCTTTGACTATGCGCTCTCTCCCTCTCTCTGTTTAAAGTCCAGCCACTGCCAGGCAGCCGCAGCTCTCTGAGGACTCTGAGTAGGCATTGAGAGAGAAAGGAGACAGGGAAGTATCTCTGATTTCTAGGGTTTGTGCTATAGTTCCCTGCACCTACGGTTCTTGGAAACCCCAATTTGTAAAATTCCTCATCCTAAACACGTAAATTATTGTCTGATCCATCTTCCCCTCGTTATCTCCTCTTTAATAGTGCCAATTTTAAGCCAATCTGTGCATGTTTTCTTGCTGTTAGAATTTTGATTTTGGTTTTTTCTCCAATATTATGGCTTATTTGTTTTTTTTTTTCTAATATTTTTTATATGTGAATGCTTAGTGTATGGAAGAATTCACCTTTTTTTTTACCTGAAATGTTTCAAGCTCCACCAGAAGTTGACCGAATGTTGCTCAGAATTGGATGCTTGTTTGGGTAAAATTTTGTAGGGGTTTTGTTGAGCAGAACTACTGTTTAACTCTTCTAAAATACAACAAAATTTACTTAATCAAATACTAATGCAATCAATTATTTCACTATAAAAAAAAAAAAATCAAACCTCCACGATCGGGTATGGATCCAGGTCCCAGGTCCAAAATCTTCTCTCAGGTCCGGGTACCCTCATTTTGGACCTATCAGGTCCGGGTCGGGGTACACATGTACTATTTAGGGTCCAGGTCCAGCATGACCCAACCCATACCCGACCAGTGCCAGCCCTAATCCCAGCAAACAACCTAAAATATTGCCTTAAAAAGACTTGCACAACGGAACACAAGCCATGTTTTCGATGGATATTTTTATTTCAACGCTAATCCCTAGGTGATTCTTAAAAATTTTGGATCCTCCCAAGTGGGTGTTCTACCCGAAAAAGCAAGATTACACTTTCCCATGATTCATAGCCCTTTCAAGTTTAATGACATGAATATGGGTTTCTAAGTCATTTTAATCATATTTTATGGTGTTGTTCATATGAATAAAGTCCTGCATCAGGTACCCATGGATGAAATGAATTTTCATCAATCCATCAATGTACAAATTCTTTGGCAATTTTGCAGGTAATGTAAAATTTCTTAGGAGATCAGCAAAAGAATGACAAGTCGACATGAAGCCCTAAGATTTTTGGGGTGAGAGCACCCTTTAAAACATTATTCCTTGTTCAAGACTTTGGGAACTTTGATAAATGGCTCGCTGTAGCTTGAAACTGCTGCTATCATTGCCTCTCTGTACCATGTTAAAATTTGCATCAGTTTATCAAGTAGAGCTTTCAGCAAAAAGATCAATTCTAGTTAACCACCGTCTTTTTTCACAGCAAGGAAGGAGTGAAAAGCTTACCTGTTTCCAAAAATTTCAGGTTCATCTGCTCGTGTATTGTCACTTCCTCCGGTATCTGTGAAAAAATAGATATCGAGTTTAGCATCCCTCTCTGTCCCTCCCTCCTTGTGTCAAATTTATTTCTAGAAAGAAAATAGGGTTAAAGATTACCCATGCACATAACCCTCAGGTTTCCAGAACTGCAATATTATATATTAGCCAGTGCTATTTGATTTCACTTGGGCAAATAGGATTCTGAATCATTTAGTCACACACTTGATGCCAACCAACCGAAAGACTGAACCATATAACAGAATGAGCCTACAACCCCACATGACCAATCATTCACTAGGCCTTTAACTGGTATTAAGAAACTACTGAATTAGCAAACTATGCAACTCTCACGTTGTTGAAAACAGAACTAGATGTTACACAAGCTTAAACTAACATGATAATCTCAAAAGCAGGGAGCCTCATAGCGCAAAATCTATCTCAACATTTGGAAATGGCAGGACGCATACTCTCAAAAGCAGGGAGCCTCATAGCGCAAAATCTATCTCAACATTTGGAAATGGCAGGACGCATACTCTCAAAAGCAGGGAGCCTCATAGAGCAAAATTCGTCTCAACATTTGGAAATGGCAGGAGGCATACTACAAGATACAAGAGAAGCCCAAAGACACAATCAGGCCTACATCAGCATTGCTACAACTATAACAAACTACGATCACCAATTTAGGTAAGGCAGATAACAATCAGATAAGGCCTTCTCAAAGCATACATTTAATAAGTTTAAGATCTGTGCAACATGAGATGCCAGGTTAGGTCGCACACAAGTGCATCAAGGTTTCAACAAGTTATCCATAATGAGGAAAATGAAAGTAACTGCACCTCATATGCAAAATAGTGTTCATTTAAGTCAAACCAAATATCCACTTCTATGTGCACCTATCTGTGGCAATAATATATTAATATCTACGAATACTTCAACCAAAACAGATCATATAGTCTTGGATAACATGCAGCATCTACGACAATGCATGGGACAAAGCGATAGTGGACCATGTGCTGAAATCATTATGGCAATCTAAGTTTCGAACAACTAGGAGTTATCAGGCTCCATATGTGAGATGGAGACAAAGCTCCATATGTGGGATAGAGACAAAATATACTGTCTCAACAGATGTTCCAATTGAGTCCAGAAAACAAATTTCACTCATACAAAGGCATAAAACCCAATCTTATTCAGGCATCAAAGAGATTGTTGATGTCCAAAATGCATTAGGAGTTTGATCATGCCCAAGAATCACCACTCCACTCAAACATCTAAAAACTTCGTGTACTTTTAATTAAGTGTCTTAACTCTTCCAAGGACATGTCAGTTGCAGATTTCAACACGAAATGCGCATCTTACACCTACCAAACCAAAGTCATGGCTTTCTTCTTACCATACTTATTACTTGCGATGCCGGGAGACGTGTACATGTTTAATATGCAGGTTTCGTATCATGTTATCATCAATACTGATACAGGATTCTGCTAGGACACTAGCAAATACAAAATGAGATACTTCTAAAAAAAGATTATGACCAAATGCAAAAGTATGCACTAATATATGGTATGTGTATTGATGTGCTGGATGCATATCTTTATGTAATACGCAAGATTATATTTATAGACGTACATGACAGGACACTAGTATCAGTGTCCCTGATTTTGAGAAATACAAACTCATATCCCCATGCATCATATCCAGAACCATATCTGGTATCTTCAATTATCACTGCTGCTTCCAGTATGAAAAGATTAGATTCCGTACTTGTCTGCATGCAAAAACAAGGGAATTTTATAGGAACAGCTGAACTCCATGCTCTGAATTTGATCGACATGATTTTCTTTTAAATGCATCAGTATCAAATTCATTCAAAAGTTAGGAAAGAACCAGCTCGAAGTGCAGGTTCAATGCTTTCAAGATTAACAGCTTGAAGTTGTCCAAACCTGCTCAACCATAACAAAAGATAAAGGAGTTTATAAGACAACTAGAAAAGAGGCCAAACATCATTTATATGCAAAACTTGATGAAAGCAAAAGCAAAGAATGCAAGGGGAACAGATTCCATTCCATAAATTAACAAATGTGTCCATTTCATTGGTGTCCAAAAAAATTTCAAACAAGAACATGCCCAAATTCTAGAAAGAACTTAAGCAGTAAATCCATTAAAAAATATACATAAGTTAAAAAAAAATGGATTGTGGGTGGTGTAAGAATGATAAAAAAGAAAGTACCCAAAGGGTCATGAATGCAAGACAATTGTTTGATATGACTTGGTTAAATAAAAAGCTAGGTTCGTGTTGGGTTTTTCTGGACAAACTTCAAGGGTTCTATCCTAGATCTCCCTTCACCCAAATCAATATTACTACCAATTAGCTGAAGCTTAAGTGACTAGATATTACATAATGAACAACTTTAAACACATTATAATAAGTAAATAATACATGTCCTCCATCAAATAATCAAACCATAATAGCGCCACAAGCCGCAGTTTAGAACTCAGTGAGCCAGCTTAGGACTCACCTCAAGATCCCACCTCAACTTGTTGTATAGCCATGAAACTAGCACAAGAATATTGTTGTATTTTATATTCTGCAAAACTCCTACCAACTTGACATAGATCAAGAGACTACCAAGGCCCAACATGAGTCCATATTTGAAAACTATGCGACATACTATCACCAAACTGCAGTTCCCCAATACTACATCAGAACTCAAGAAATGAATTTTAGTTGGGGTGTTAAAAGGGTTGGTTCAACCCACAGACCCAATGGATCAACCTGTTTAGTCCGGGTATGGACCCAGATAGTGGGCCCTATGGGTTCGATCTGGGTCCACTCGATCTCGACCTGACCCCGATCAGGTCAGGGTCTGGGTCCAGCCTGGACCCTATCAAGTATGGTCAACTAAAATATTAAAAATATACTTAGAAATATGTCTTAACTGTATTACTATAATATATAAAATAAACTTCCATATTTTTTATTTATTGGATCTGAACCCTACCTGTTTTTACATCCCTGAATTATGGAGGATTTGTGGGGGTGGGGGGGAGAGGGGTTAGAGAAAATTGTTAGTCAAACCTTCATGATTTGGAAAAATGGTAGCTACAAATTGTATAACTTTGTTTTATCTATCCAAGAGAGTATTTCATGGATCAAAATCCAATCAAATGAGTAGTTTGCCTTTTTTTTCTTTATGGTTGGTCAGCATGGGATTCAGACATGGGATGTAGTGTTGCGTGCCCCAACACCATAAACAATCATGCCTGTGCCCCAATCCTATAAAATGAATATTACCCACCAATTTAACACAAGTAGTGACTACAGGTTTCACAAAGAATGAATTAGCTACAAGAACCTTCAGACATGACAAACATGAGAACAATTCCATTTTTCATGGCAAGTGGCAGTGTAAATCAAGTTGGAAACAAATGGAGGGAGACTTTGAGAGTTATCATTTTTGTACTCAGAATATCAATCAGGTTTAATAAATTAAAGAAATCTTCAAGTTGAGATCATTTAAGGAAGTGCATCTTTGAGTGCACAATGCGCATAAATTCGATTTTACGAATCTAGAAATGATACCAAGTTTCTTTTCTAACCACCTAGCCATCGAGGGCAACAATTTCTTAAATCTTATGTATCAATATTGCACCAATAGCATCTTTTAGTCAAGCATAAATGGCCATTATCCGGAGCCCAACTAATCAAAAGCAGTGATAAACCAAATACATAAAAAGGTCATCCATTTGATCATAGTTGTTGGAAACGCCTAGGAACCCAAATCGTTTTGGGAACCGGAATCACGGCCAGCTAAAAGATTCTTGTCCTAGGAAACGTTGCCCATACAATAGGAATAACTGGGAACGAGCTTCCTAGTTTTTGAGAATCGTGTTTCGACCGAAAAAGATCCAAGTTCCATCCACCTACAAAATCGAGATTCCATCCTCCTTGGAATCGAGATTCCCATCCCCTTGGAATCGACACTCCAGGAGTCAAGATTCTTTAATATGCAGAATCGAGTTTGCGACATCTATGGAATCGAGTTTCTGACATATGTGGAACATAGATATGTTGTTGTTTCGAATCGAGATTCTAACATATTTGGAATCAAGTTTTTAAAGTATATAAATCAGAGATCCATGCCAGATTGCAGTAATATGGACTATGGAATGCGTTTGACGACCCTTACTAGGAATCAAGATTTTATTTTTATGGAGAAGGAAGCCACAAGCACATCTTGAGCCTCATCAACTTTAGAACCTATATTGGATGTCTCTTATTAGAAGGTTTGTTGAATTTTAAAGTGATTGTGTTGACTATTGAACTTATGGTCATTATATAGAAAAGACAAGTATTCCTAAATTGTGATTTTGACTTCATTATTATAAAGACAAAATAGGATTATGTCTACACCATGGTTTTACTTTTAATTGTATATGTTGTATATACCAATTATATTTTAAATTTAAAGTAAAGGCCATCCAGAGTGGCACAAGTAAAATAATGAAACCCTGCAACCACTAGAAGCATTTGAAGGAAGATTTCTACTCCAATTGACATGGAATCAAGATTTAATCCTCGCTAGTATCTAGATTCAATATACTTGGGAATGTCTACCCACAGTTAATGGGTTCAAGTTTTCAAAGATGTGTTGGATCGAGATTCCGAAATTAAGGAATCAAGTTTCTTTGGTTCTAATAAATGGTTTCTAAAGATGTGTTGAATCGAGATTCCGAAATTAAGGAATTGAGTTTCCTTCGTTCCGAAAAAAGTTTTCTAAAGATGTGTCTAATCGAGATTTCGAAATTAAGGAATCGAGTTTCCTTGGTTCCGAAAAACGGTTTCCGTGATGATTCCTTAATGGAAACGTGGAATCGGGATTCGAAATCGGAAACGTGAGGTCCGTGGATAGATTCCGGTAACTATGCATTTGATCCTCATACTGATCTTGCTGTGATCCATCACTCCATGGAGATGCTTAACAATTTAAGCAGTCCCCTCACGAATGGTCTCCAACTCCGTTGTTCAACTTATTGGTTTTACAAATGCTGATCAACCAAACTTTTGATGCAGATTGGTTTTTATAAGCATAAATTTTCACTTGGAGGTTTGTTTGAGGTGATTCAAATCTCAAATAAAAAATCTCTATGAGATCTATGACTACCATCTCTAAAGCTTTTTCTCACTTCGGATGTTTCTGTCTCAAATCTTGGTCGAAACTCAGATGAAATTTTTTATTACAAATTTTATATTTAAATAGGAACTTCTGGAACATTGACTTTGTCAGAGTAAATTGAAGTTAGTTTCCTTTTTCCCTTTGTTACAATTATTCTAAAACATGTTAAAATGGTTAGTTTTCTAAAACTATAGAGGATCTAATATATAATTACTTGGAGCAGGAGCAGGAGCAGGAGCAGGAGCAGGGGTGGGCGCATGAAGGGGAATCATGGATCAACACAGTAGGAAGCTCCCTAGGTCGGAAGCACATTTCGTACTATTTCTAAATTAATAAATATTTGCTTAAATCAAAAATTTTAAAATTAATAATTCCACAAAATACAATAAAAATGGGCACACAAAATAAAAAAGTTATTATTTATTAATTAATCTTTATTTAATTAACAAAATTATCATATTCATTTGAGGGGTAGGTTATGTTACAATTATCTCATAAAATACAATAAAACATTATGACAATGCACGACGGGATAACCAATAACATTACAGCAATCTTATTTTATTGATAAAAATATGTTTTATTTACAATTTAACACTTGTACAAAATCCAAAAGCAACAAGTTGCTTCATTTGCAGTTTTACACTTTACAACATCCAAAAGCATGTATGTGTGTGAGAGAGAGCAACTACAACCCAAATGAATCATCTTTTTGGCCTCCTGTTGCCCCTTTGAATAGCTAGGAGTGATCCCTAAAAAGTGGGATCAAGATCCCTATCTAGAGGCGCTAGAACAAAATCTAGAAGTGGGACGAACATCTAAGTTGGGAAATTCTAGTAACTAGGATCTAGTTCCCTAATATTAGAAGAGATAGATCTAGGAAAGATTTAGGGTTGCCTTAGCATCAAGTTAAGGAAGACAAGATGTTCCGAACTACATAAATAAAGGTGTAGGCTCAAGGCCAGTCATAGCAGAGATTGAATTTGAAATAGAATATTTCCCTTCCAAACCACCCTTCTTGAACCATAATAAGCTAACCAATGCCTCCTAAAACCCATCACACACCCCCCTACAACCTCAAAACATAGGTTTGCCTTAATTCAACTGCAGAAACCTTCTTATTACCATCATTCCTTGCTGAACTGTGAAATTCCAGCAAACTTCGATCCCTTTAGATAGCATAAAACCTGTAGTAAACCTTGCCCTAACCCAACCAAACTCTTCCCATAACGCTGACTTATTTCTACTTCATTTAGACCCCGTATTATCTAATTCGACCAGAATTAGGAAACCTTCATAAGGCACAAACCCTGAAGTCCCAATCTCAGAAGGGACCTAAAACCCTTTATAAATCCTAAATTCTAACCTATTTAGAACTCCCAATCATTACCCAAACCCTTTCTTTCTATGCCAACCTCACGTGTCACACTCATGTAGCAGCCAAGCCCCTTTGGTCCTACACAGGTATTGTTTTCTAGATTTTGAATTTAGGGATTGTGTTACTAAATGTATATCTAGCCATAGTTAAGCAGAGCGACTTTTCTAGGGGGTTTGGTGTTACCAAGGCTGAAACTCCTTGGGAGCTTGCCCTTGGACAATATGGGACCTTGATCCCATTTAGCATGGGATCTCAATCCCGTTTCAGATGGGATCGTGATCGATAATCCTTAGATATATGATGGGATTTTTTTTTGAATAATTGATATATAAGATTAATTTCGATTATAAAGAGTGGCCATAGTCACTAACTCAATATACTATAGTAGAGTGTGTGTGCGTGCATGTGTGTCTACTTGATTAGACGCCTTATATTAATAGCAATTAGAAGATTGATCTCAACATTTCATGGACATCATTGAAAGACAATGGTGGTTGAAGGATAAATTTTAGTTCCCATTCACGTCAGTCGCATGCGCTCACACACACACACAGAGGAATATATATAAGGCAAACACATGCACGCATGCACACACACTTATGTGGGAAACACTTAAAAAACACTCATGAGTCACATCCATAACACGATTGTCTGACAGTGTTTGAATTTTATTGAAAGTAATTGTTTTATATTTTTATATGGTGTACAATAGTGTTAGGTATATACACCCCAAATTTTATCTTAATCTAATTTATAGAAAAAGGATTAAAATTAAAATACTGATATGAATTTTGAACCACTCAATGAAGATCTGACGCCTGGGAGCTAGTAGATGATGCAGATAAAAATTTGAAAAAATTCCAAATTCAATTTTATTATTTTTTTTAAATTTATATTTTTAGGAATGGGTAGTGTGAGTTTTTAAAAAAGGTAAATCTTGGTGTGAGTTAGTTTTTTTTAAGCTTATCTAAGATGTAATGAGAGATTTAAGGGAAATTTAAGTATAAAAAAGATATGGGAAGGAAATGGGGAGTAAGTGAAGATGGGGAAGTTTCCTTGATTCAAGGGACTCCACATGATGGGTATAGAGACACTTGAGGAATGAGAGAAAATAGGGAGATGAAGTGAGAGAAAATAGGAAGGGAGAGGAAAAACGTGGAAGAGAGAGAGAGAGAGTTAATTTTTGTGGTTCTTTTATTTATTTTCTTCAAAGTCTATTTAAAGGGAGATGTCATTTCATTGTAAACAAATCAGAGAATGAGAATTGAGATAAGTTGATCTTGTGAAAAGATCTGAATTGAGTAAAGTTGATCTCGTGAAAAGATCGATTTGGAGTGCATTCTCTTGCAGACCTTGAGAGAGAGTAAATTCTCTCACCTTTGTTATTGTTTTTACTTTAATTATTTATCCCTGTATCAATTGGTATTAGAGCCCTAAGATATGTGTTGATATGGAGAGCCTTGAGTTCTTAGAAGATGTTCGAAACAAAGTTCGTGGCATGAATCAATGGTTGCAGCGATTGGATCAAAGATTTGAGAGACTCAAAGAAGACCTCACAAAGCGCATTAGCAAAGTAGTAGAACAAGTTCTACGAGATTTCTTTCATAGATTACAATCGAAACAAGAGGAAGAAGAATATGAAGAAGTATGTCTCGATACAAAAGGCGACGCCAATGTGCAAGTAATTTTAAATATCAAATGTAAAGAAAAAGAAGAAATTTTGAAAATAAATTATGAAGAAGATACGTGTGATGCAGTATTTGAAATCCAAACAAGTGAGTCTGACGGAGAAATCAAGATTGAATCTAAATTCACTGTGTTCTACTTCGAGATAAGCATGAAGCATTTGTTGAATCGGCTTAATAAAAAATTTGAAGAAAAGGTGTTGAAGCGCATGGTGGGATTACATCACCAATTATTAGAGCATGATTGGCTTCAAGCTCGAGGTTAAGCTTCTCCCAACCCGGAGAGAATGATGCAGATAGAAATTAGGAAAAGCTTTAGAACTGAATTTTATGTTTTTTTTAAATTTATCTTTTTAGGAATGGGTAGTGTGAGCTTTTAAGAAAGGTTAATATTGGTGTGAGTTAGTTTTTTTTAAGCTTATCTTAAATCTAGTGAGAGATTTAAGGGCGATTTAAGTATGAGAAAGATAGGGATTTAGATATGGGAAGGATATGGGGAGTATATGAAGATGGGGGAATTTCCTTGATTCAGGGGACTCCACGTGATGGGTATAGAGACAGTGAGGAAAGAGAGAAAATAAGGTGATAGAGAGACAAAAGAGGGAGGGAGAGGAAAAACGTGGAAGAGAGAGAGTTCATTTTTGTGGTTTTTTTATTTATTTAATTATTTATTTTCTTCAAAGTCTATTTAAAGGGAGATGTCCCTTCATTGTAAACAGATAAGAGAATGATCAAAGAATGAGAATTGAGAAAAGTTGATCTTGTGAAAAGATCTAAATTCAGTAAGTTGATCTTGTGAAAATATCGTTATGGGGTGGATTCCCTTGCAGACCTTGAGAAAGTGTAAATTCTCTCACATTTGTTATTGTTTTTAGTTTAATTATTTTCTCCCTGCATCAGTAACTTATACTATTCATTATAGCTAGTAGCTAAGGAAATCTTTTTCCATATATACTAGCTATAATGAAATCTTTTTTCACATATATATATATATTGGGAAAAGGCTAAAATGATGATGATAGGGAGTTTAATTTCAAGTTATACTTAAGTCAAGATCTTTTGGTTAAAAATTTAATTTTATGGACAAATATTGTCCAAAATATTAAATAGGCAATATTTAAGTGGGGTGTGGATGGCTGGAGGGAGATCACACTTTTTTTTAAAGAAAAACCGACTTCTATTGAAGAAAGAAAAGAAGGCCAGCACGGGAAAAACTCTAGGGTTTCCTCAAAATTATATGCTTTGGATGAGATTTCTTGCTGATTTTTATTGTTTTCTCAAGTTCTCTACATCAGTTATTCTATGAAAGAATTGGAAAATGTTAATCTCGAATACATTCTCTGTCATCTTTACATGAAAACAAGAAAAATGCATGCCAAAGATGATGCATGAACAAGTGCACACAAATATAGAATTCTCCATCCCATGGGACAGTACTTGCTTTCTTTTAATACATATAGCTGTCCATAGCTTCAAATACATGGGGGACAAATTCCATTGCAAAGGCACATTATCTTATTGGTCAAGTTGTCACAGAGGTACTAATTTCAAATGAGTTTCTCAAAATTTTTGATGTTTCAGTAGCCAACATAGTGGTATGTAAATCATCATGCACATGTGCACATATAGATATTGGAGGGGCATTACATAGGATGCACACATAAAATAATTAGGGGAAAAATATACATTCATAACTAGAAAAATACAGATGTAGTTTCCAACACATACCAATGTGCACGTGTGGGTCTATATGTAGATGCATGAGTATATACACTCATACAATATCATATGTATAGGTCATGTTGGACTGTACTGGTCATGTTGTACTTTAATAATGACTTAAATACTGAATCAGAACATCATAAGATCATAACAATTATAACATGATCCTCTGAATTCTAATGGAGAGAAGTTGGCTTCATTATTCTTAAATTAAGATTTTTAAATAAAATTGAGAAGCTACTCATTTATTTTCAGCTCAACAAACTAATTGAGTGGAATAGCAACAAATTTTGGATAATACATATGAATGACAAATTAAAGGCAACTCCAAAGTACTTTTCCTATAGAATGATGTATGATGAATTTATGGCTGACGAGAAGGAGAAAATTTTATCATTTATGATTAAAGACAGTTGTACATACCAGTCTATGACTTGTTTGATTTTGGGACCAAACTCTTCAATCTGAAATGCAAAAACATTTATAAGAAAATGTACTAAAAATCACAAATTTCAACTATAAAGATTGATTTTTTTTTATTTCGACGGTCAAGTAGATTTTCCATTGCCATTTCTGAGATATTATCGTGAGTCAAAAATGATTTACAAAATTTGAGATCCATAAGGGAAAGTGATGTTCTCTCTCCCTTCAGCAAAATAGAAACATTGAAATAGGAGCCACAAAATATCCAATAGAAAGTGAATTGTCCGAAAGATAACAAGAAAATAAAGTACGAAGTTATGTCACAATCATGTAAGCAATGTCAATATAGGTCTTTAATATCATAATTAGCATGAGCCAAGAGCATGTCAAGTATAGCTATTCTCATTCAGCCAAGATCGAATGGAGGTATATCCTCTTTACTACCAAAAGAAAATAATGGAGTTAGAATCTAGATTAAATAAGCCTTAAAACCTGAGAAAATGCCAGCCTGCCAATTAGCAGAAGAAAAACATGGAAACATAAATTGAAGTGATTGCTGCCACTAATTTGAAATATTAATTATATAACAAAAAACAGTAATGTTCAAATTTCTTCTACAGTTTAGTTGCAAAAGAGGACCAAGCACCCTTATCAAGAAACAAGGGCTGGGGTAGAAAGCAAAGCGATTACATTCATGCCAAACTCATGCATCACATGGAGCTTTCCGAATTAGCACTCGTTTCATCACATTTATGACCATTACAATCATTGTTCAAAATACCAGTTCATAGTCAAGGAGTGTTCTCTCCCATTTGCTTTAAAGCAAATACCCATCCACAGAACCCAACAACCAGACGTATCATAGAATGATCAAATCATCATTATCATATGGAGAGGAAAACAATTCAGGATTCCTGTAAATGAACCCATACATCAACAAACAATGAAAAACAGAGACAATGTTTCTCCAAAACAATGAGGCCAGTTTACCAATTTGTGACATCAAGTGAGGCAGCCAGTGAACTTCTTCCGTTAATAAAAGACGCAAAAAGATGCATTTAACAACCTTCGAAACACAATTAAATATGTACTTACATTGAGACATATACATATGACAAACCCAACTAAGAAGAGCTTAAAAAGGATACTGATTTCAGACACTATATACTTTAAGTTTGGTTTTCTTCATAAAATCCCAGTGAAGAGTAAAACCAAAAGCGAATACCAGGGAGGAGGGATTTACCTCATTTGCGGTAAGTGAAATTCGAGCACTCTCTGCTAACTGAGCCACATCAGGAGGTCGGACGAAAGGAGAGCAGCGAGAAGAGAGAAAACGCCTTTTTAGGGTAGTGCGAGAAAGATAGGCTGGAATTCGAGAGAAAGAGAAGAAGGATGATGATGCCATGGCTGCAACTGCTGGGAAGATGGGTTTCACACCACTGGAGGTGACACCGATAGCTTCTTTGTGTAATTTTGATTTATTTGGTGCCCTCTGCAGGTCAAAGAGAAAACATTAAGGGCCTGTTTGATAACTGAAAGCAAGTTCATGAACTGTAAATTGGAAGTTTCTGAAGAACTATGCATTAGTAGTTCCTAAAGAAGTTCCTAGTTTCTGTGTTTGATAACATCCCTGGGAAGTTAAGAAGTTCCTGGTTTCTGTGTTTGATATCCTCTTGGGAACTTAAGAAGTTCCTGGTTTCTGTGCTTGATAACCTCTTGGAAAGTTAAATAAGAATTGGGTATCTGTATTGGATTAGCTTTAAGTAATAGGCAAGATGTAAATGTTAAAATTGAGACCTAGATATTATTTATTTTTTTATTAATTTGTAGAATATTATTTTTTGGAATACAATAAATATCAATTGAAAGTAAAGTAGAATATTAGTTTTCTGTAATAACTTGAGCACTACTTACATTCGCCACTGATACATCCATATCCCAACCTAAAAAATATACGTCATTCACAACTCAAAAAATACGTCATTCACAAGTCATGCACATAACATTTGTGTGCT